CCATTTTCCTTGAGCACCGGCCTTTGTGACGCAGTGCGGACTAACCCCAGAGTAGATTATAATTGTCTGAACGTTGACAAGAGCACCGGAAGGCATTGATGCTTCTCTTCACATCTCTCTTTAAAGTACGGGAAATGCCCAGCACTCTGCAGACCTTGGGAGGGGAATTACGCTCTGCCATTATCATCAAGCCTCCTTCTGCAGCGGCTGCTTTTAGACATGAGGTGCAGCTAAGTAATCCTGGGGCCATTTTATCTCCTCCTCCTCCTCCTCCTCCCCCTCCCGGATGAAGAATGTTTAGGCATCATTTCCTTCCTGAGCCCTGGGGCACCTGGAGGCCGCCTATCCAGCCGGCAGAAACAAGCTTCAGCCAAGGCCGGATTGGGAACGGCCCCCAACGGCCTTGCGATGGCCTCCAGACCAGTGGGATGGAGGGGAGGTGTGCAGGGGGCCACAACCACAGGACCAAGCCACGCCCCAATGCAACAGAGGCCCCAGAGAGCTTCATAACATGGAGATTGGTGGCAGGGAAGGGACGCTCCAGGATCCACCCGAGGGCCCCGCAGTGATTCACTGAAGGATCTCCATTGCCCATTTCCGGAAGGCAGGAAGAGGCTCCGCAAAGCCCAGGAGAGAACAGGAGGCTCCCCTTGGCTCCAGCACTGGACCTGGTCCTGTCATGGCCAGCGCTGATGTTTCCTTCTGCTTAGAAGAACGTTTCTTGGGCTCTCGGGCCCTGGAAGAACCTGGGCTTCTAAAACCCAAGAAAGCCTTCCGGTGAGCGAAGAAGACTCCACCAAGTCTCGGCTGAGAGGTCAGCTGCTTCTCTCCCGCCCACGGATGGATTCCTCTGGGGTGCAGAGTTGCTCCAAAGTCTTCTGGCCACCTGAATGAAGAGACTTCCCTTCTGCCAGCTCTGCCTGGGTGGCCCCCCTCGCCTTCTTTGCCGCTGATGAGGCTGGGGGAGTCTGCGGAGGAAGCAGGCTCTTCCTCAAAGCCTTGAGAGCCGGGGGGGGGCAGGGGGGCAGAGCTTCTGCAGTCTTCACAGCCTCCTCCTCTTCCTCCTCCTCTCTCCAGCTGCTCCAGCGGGAGCATCTCCGCCAGGATCAGGGTTTTACGATGCCACAGAGGGCACCCAGTGGGTCAATATCGCCCTCCAGGTCCTGCAAGGATAAATAGATAAAATGTTTCTTACAGTCGTGGGTCAGCCTACAAGGGAGCCATTCTACGGCTGCCAGAATTCACCGTGAAACTGACCTAAAACATATTACGAGCGGGAGGCTTTCGCATCTGGCAGAAGTGGTTCCCTTCACCGGCCACAGAGGAAGAGCTGCACTTGGGAGGCCATCCCTGGAGGCCCTTAGAGCCGTCCTGAATACAGGGACCACAAGCCCTGCTCGGGGGTCAGAGGGGTCTCTGGGACCCCTGACAGCTCAGCCCAGCAGTCTTGGGAGTTGTAGATCAGGGGTCTCCAACCCTGGCAACTTTAAGCCTGGAGGACTTCAACTCCCAGAATTCCCCAGCCAGCTTTCCTGGGAGTTGAAGGCTTAAAGTTGCCAAGGTGGGAGGCCTCTGTGGTAGATTACGCACGGATTTCCTCTCCAACGGGCTGCAGATGCTTGAGGTTGAAAGGCGTCCGCTCCTGTGGCTCTCAGGGGTGTCTGTGAGGCGATCAAAAAAATGAAGGGGGGGGTCTCAACCGTGCAACAGAAGCCCCACCTTGGCTGACCTGCGTCCCCTTCCCAGCAGATGCCCCTGTCGTCACTGGGGGAACAAGGTGGATCTCCCAGAAAAGGAAGGCGAGGCGCCTCCAGATCTTGACCTGGAGAAACGTCCTCTTGCCGTGCAGGGGAACGCGCAGCAGCAGGACCCTCCCTGGGGCACAGAGGCCAACTCCGCCAACCCTCGCGGTGGCAGAGGGTGCTCGGCCTGGAGCCAGGGAGGTGCCGAAGCTCTCCTGAAGCTGCTACCTGCTCTTCAAGCAGGCGCTGGAAACCCAGGAGAAGCTGCAGGGCACCTCCGGAAGAAGGGAGGGGGGGTGACCCCTCCCTTTCAGAAGCCAAGCAAGGATTTATTGGGAACTGCCAGTCCCACCCACACCAAGTCACTCTGCCTCAGAGGGGTTCAGTTGGGCCCTTCCCTCCCACCCAGACCGGAAGGTTGCCGCCTCTGATCTCAGTCTCTCCTACCATCCTCCACAAGGAGCACCAAAGAGTTTCCACCCTGCCAGGGGCCCAGTAACCCAGCTCCTCCAGGGCCCTCACTTTATCCACCCGCTTTCCAAGTCAAAGAAAATGGGCGCCTGATCGGGGACTGCCTGAAACAGAGGTCTCCAACCTTGGCCACTTTAAGACTTATGGACTTCACCTCCCAGAATTCCTCAGCCAGCTTTGCTTTGCTTTGTTGGCTGAGGAGTTCTGGGAGTTGAAGTCCGCAAGTCTTAAAGCTTTGCTGACTGAGGAATTCTGGGAGTTGACGTCCACAAGTCTTAAAGTGGCCAAGGTTGGGGACCCCTGGCCTGAGACCACCAGATCACGCAAAGTTTTCTTGAGTTGGGAGCCCCCAGGGACCCCTCGCAGCTGACTGCATCCTCCAACCTCCTTCCACCTCCGCAACTGCCCCTTGTGGGACGGAGATCCAACTGAGAAAAGGCACAGCCAACCCTGCAGGGACCAGAAAGACCCAGTTGGAGGTTCACAGCACCTGGAAGCAGGCGGGGCGAAGAAGGGCAGCTGCACCCCTTTCCTCTCCCCCCCCACCCCCCCAGTTTCAACGCAGGATCCTTGGGGGTCTGGGAGAAGCTTCCTAGTTCTTCCAAGCCCTTGCTAGAGATGAAGGCTCTTCGGTGCCCCCTGCTGGCCTATGGAAGCAAAGCTTCCCTTCCTTATTTACAAAACAACAACAACCAGAACAGGCGAAGGTATTAAATGTCCCCTGAACCCTCCCCCCCCAAAAATGTGTGATCATCTTGTGGGATAAAGATGAAGACATTTCCCAGCTCACACTTGGTGTCTCCTCACGGAAAAGCTGCAGAGAGGGAAATGCACCCCATAAAATGCAAAGGGAGGAACGGCATTGGCGGAGGATTTCTTCTCCAGATTTGCTGTTTAGCTTCCAAACGTTTTGTTACCAGGCAGGATAACTTCGGAAAAAGTCGCCTCTTCTATTGGAGCCGCATTTCTATCCCAGGGAGGGTGGGTGCCTGCCTCACAAACTCCTTGCCTTAATTCAGAGGTTTCCAAACTTGGCCACTTTAAGCCGTGTGGACTTCAATTCCCAGAATTCTCCAGCCAGCTGGCTGGAGAATTCTGGGAGTTGAAGTCCACACGGCTTAAAGCGGCCAAGTTGGGGGGGTCCTGGCTTAATTGATTCTCCAGGCTGGTCTTAAAGGGAGAGGCTCCTTTTGAAGGAAGAGGCGAGTATGAGTGGGCGCTGGTGACTTCCTGGCAGAGGTCCTGGCTACTGGAGGGACCCTCTCACCAGGCCATGGGATTGGCCTGCCCCACTCTTGCTGGCAGAGGAGGTATGCTGTGGGTCCCGTCAGCCCAATTATTCTGGCCTGCAGGGTCCAGAAGGAGGCCTTCTCCATTGCTGCTCCTGCCCTCTGGGACATCCCCCCCCCCCCCCCCCCGTGAAGTCGGCCCCAACCCTATCTTTTCCAAGGTATGGCTCTGCCAGTCAGTTTGGGGCCCCAGTGGGGGAGCAGCGCAATGGAGGTGGTTGGTTGAGGAGTAAGAGATCCGACCTACCTGCCTCCCATCTCGCTTTGGCTTATTTACCTGCAGAGTCTGTGGAAGGGGTTGGGGGTCACACAAGGTGCTACAGCCACCTGCAGTGCACAGGAGCTGGTCTGCACCTATGCTCAGCCAAATTGGTGGTGGGGGGACTCCAGCCCCACGGCCTCCTTCACCCCACACCTGTGCAAGGGCCACAGGCTTCTATCGTGCAAGAGGCAATGGGGAACCACCTTAGATGTTTCCAAAGAGAAAGGTGGCATGTAAACAGCTCAAATACGCAAGCAGGTTCTTCCACCCCACCTATTTGCCTGAAGGCTCCCAGCGCAGGGTTAGGCGAGGCCAAACAAGAGGGAATCCCTTCTAGCAAACGGTGAGTGACACAGGCGCTCCTGAAGAAACTGGGCTTCACACAGAGACACACACACACACTCCAGGGAACGACTAGTCCAGAGGAAACACACGGAGACCGTGAGAGAGGGGGAGTGGGAGAAGAGGGAGGGAGAGAGAGGAGAAGGGAGAAGGGTCAAGAAAAAAGGGAGACAGACGCCCTTGCACACAGGGAGACAAGATGGAGGGGCTGATGGGCTGATCTAAACAGGGGCCATCCTTTCTTTTCTTTGTCTTGGTGCTTTTCAACTTTTTTAGTTTACTTTTCCATGCGGGGTAAAATTACCCGCTCCAAAAGAGAACAGGAGTGGCCTGGAGGGAGGGGTATCCTGTTGTGCGATGCACTCCGCGGGAACCCCCGAATGGAGCAGAAGCTGCCCCGCAATCCCCACGCGGGGACGGAAGGGCTGCCAAGAGCCACAAGGCCGCTTATCGTTTCCTGCATGACCGGCAGCAACAGGTAGATAAAATAGCTTTATTATTGTGATCGTAACCCAGCCTTGCAAGTTCGCGAGGCTGAGCTCCAAACGGGAGGCGCGCGCGCACACACACACACACACACACACAGAGTCGAGGCGGCACCCAAGTGGGGTGCCAAGCCAGGCGCCCCGCAGGTGAGAGCAGGACAGGCAGAGGAGGAGGAGGAAGAGGGAGCCGACGGCAGCCAGCAAAAGCGCAGTGCGAAAAGGGAAGCCGAGTCCCCCCCCACGCCCTCCACGAGGACTGGAAGCTTGGCCAAGGTGAGTGACCTGGGAGGCGTCGGCTGAGCTACAGGCGCGCCCGAGGGAGGAGGAGGCGAAGCGGCCGCTTCCCCAGGGGACCTTCAGGGGCGAAGCGGGGGGGGGGAGCGAAGGGGACCGGGGCTCCCTTCGGAGCCTTTGGGGGGGTCGCGTGGCTCTCCCGTCCCGCTTTCCTGGCCGAGGCGACCCAGCAGCCGTTGGGATCCGGTGGGGAAGTTTCGCTCCCCGGTTTCTCTCTCCGGAGGGGAGCGGCGCGGCTCCTCCTCCCTCCGGCTCCCCCGGAGAAAATCGGGAGTTTGCTCACGTTCCCAAAGTCGCGGTTACGCCACGAAGAGCGCCTGGGCCGCGCCGGGACCAGGGAGGGGAGAGCTGTCTGCCTACCTGGCCGCCGCAGAGGCGACTCAGGCCGGATCCCAGCTGGTTCCTCTCCGCAGAAAGGTAAAGTTTGGGAAGTTCGGGAGAAGTTTTTGAAAAGGCCCCAGAAAGTAGCCCCGAGCGGCGCTTCTTCCGGGGAGAGCGAGCTTTGTTCGCCCAGGCTGCAGCCCCCCCCCCGCCCCCCCCCCCCCAAGGGGCGCGGGGGCCCTTGCAGCGAGGCGGCTGGGCTCCCGCCAAGTGTCTATATAGTCGGGGGGGGGAGCCAAGAGGGTGTTCCCACCCCCAATTAAGAAAACAAATCCCAGCATTGCGAGAGTATCGTTTGGCCCGGAGGCGGCGGCCGCTTTCGAGTTGCAGAGCCAACTTCTCCCCCCCCGCCCTTTCCCAGCCCCCATTCCGCTGCCCTTGTGCACCGAGGCCTGACGCCTTGGTGGTCGCCATGGCAACCCTTGCCCAGGTCTAAAGGCCCGGGCAGGGCGGAGGGGGGGGGGGCTGCAAACGCTTTTGTGGCGCGGTCCTTGAAGGGGGTCCTTCCGTGGGAAGAATGCCGCTGCTGCGCCCCCCTCCTGACCCCCTTCTTGGCCCATGCGGCACCTGTAGGGTTCGAGGGGTCCCTCGCTTTTCATCCATGGAACTTCCCCAAGCGGTGCGGGGGGGGGGGGCTGCAATCTGGGAGAGAGAAGGATGGCGGGGGCTTCCTCACTGCTGAGCAGGGCTGCCCTCAGCGTCAGCAAACAGCCCACCCCCCACCCCCGTTGCCCTCCTAACGGGCCCATCTGCCTCTGCAAGAGGAGGGGCAGACGCCTGCCATTGCTGCCCCAAATCTGCCCTTGGGGGGTGTTGGGTGAATGTGGGGGGGGGCAAGGCTGCTTTAGCTGCTGAGGAGGATGGGGGCTGCTTTGAGATGGAGCAACACCGAGGAGGCCATTTGGGGCAAATGGGGAAAGGCCCGGGGGCAGCGGGGAGGGGGAGAGGAGGCGGGGTGGGGGAGAGGAGGTTGCCCACTTTTCTGGTGCTGTGGACGGGGCTGGCATTCCTGCTTGAAGGCCTCAGTGCAGGGGCCTCCGA